TTTTTTTTTTATTTTTTTTTTATTTTTTTTTTGAGGGGTTACCACTTCCTGACCTCGGAAGGTTACCGTCTGTCGCTGTCTAACGTCAGTAGACCTGGGGCACTAGGCCGAAGCAGAAGCTGCTGTTACGTCGAATTTGCCAGTGTGTTTCTGCGTACTAGTGAAAGCGACGCTGCCTCAACATCAGTTGTTGGAGCCCCCTCTTGAAGAACCAATCCAAATTATATAACCTTTTGGCAATTTCAAAATCATTTACCAGTCAGATATATATCTTTTATAATTATTAACACCTATAATACTTGCAATCGATGACGCACACTGACGCATATATCCTAGTGGGGTCCTCTGTCAGTATTGATTCAGATTCAGATTCAGACAATTACCGTATAAGGTATATTGTCCTTTGTTATATCTTTTTTTTCCTCTTGTGGCAAAAACCATCACATTTATTCATCAATATCATTATAAATCATAAGTTTGTACATTGCTTTAGTGGGTTAGCCTTTCATTATCTTACTTTTTTCGTGGTTTTCATATTCTTCTAGACATATATAAGAATAGACCCTTCCTTTTTTTTTTACATATTTTGTTAAAACTATGATGCAGTGAGCACAATCATGGTTTTACAGAGTAATACCTGACACCACAAACTTGTTTTTTTTTTTTTGCGTGTTCAAAAAGAACAAAATTAAAATAATAATGTCGTTACATCTTACAAAAAAGTGTTAGCAACTTACCAGAGCATAATAACTATCGACCGGACTAACATCATGGCTCTCATTATCACGATGTCTTCTTCGTAATGCGCACAAATGAATAGTTAGTCAGATAATTGGCGAGTTTATACCATATGCTACATGCAAACAATGTTGCAACCAATAGAATTCAAGTGTAAATTTGTAATAGGCCCCTACTTATGTTAAAATAAAAGTACTTGACATAATCTTCTTAAGAGTTTTCGATGGTAATCTCGTCGGCCTAGAAATGTGCAATAGACCGTGTACGCTCTAGGATGTTGTCATGATAGAAAGAATTCTGTAAAATGTTTAAATAATTTAATGCTTAACATTTTTTTTTATACTTAAAGGTGAGTAAGTCTATCTGTGAAAATAACTCATTGAGCAAACAACATGAGAGATTAGGTCCATTTTAGAATTCAATAACGGCAAAAACTAGACAACGCATGTGTGTGTGGAAAGCATGTGGGTGAACAGAAATATGTTGTGGCCTTTAATTTAAAAAGTCGGGGTTCAAGTGCGAGGCTGATCAAGTGTGTGTGTCCTTGGCCAAGACACATTATCTAAGTTATCTCTTCATCAGGATGTACCGGATAGGTTCGAATACTAATGCGTTGATTTTATCTGCAACATTATAAAATTCCAGCTTCATTTATAGTCATGTTTTATATCAACCAGTATTTTTTTTTAATTGTTGCTACTAAACCTAATTAATGAAACTGTCGAACGCAAACACAATAATAGGCCTATAATCTCTCCTCACATGCTGTCTCAGATTTGGCAATATTTAAATTCTTTCCAAAAAAACACCCACTGTTACATTAAATAATATGATTCAAATTACTGATTAAGGTTGTACATTTGTTGTTATTTCGACGTGTTTGCGTTAGCAAAATATTTCTTAGGAGCTCGGTGGTCTAGTTGTTATGAGACCAGGCCGAGTTAACTGGAGGTCGTCGGTTCGATAAGCAACCGAAAGTATTGGGAAACGAATTCAGTACGATAAAACGTCAGGTAGGACAAAATATCACTACTATAAGACATCATCTTTGTCATCCTACCGGCTACTGTTCTTCAAAAGATCCGACGATGACCAGCCCAATATACCCAGTGGTTTAATATCGTATTAGATGGAGAAACCTTTAGTTCGGCTTATTTTATAATAAGTACTGAAAATGCTTAAGATAATCATACTCAGTCGCATCTTTTTTTCTATTTAAAGCATCTGTTCTTAAGTCAATAGGTAAACTGAAAACCACTGTAACTTCTCTTCTTGCTGCAGAAAATACATGTTAAAAATACTTTATACAGAAAACTGTTAAATGTTTGAGAATGTATACTGTATAATTATTTTGTCAGCCATTGAAAATGGTACAGTAAGGTTACCTTGATTATTTTAAAAGGCATATTGCCATGCCTCGTAAAAACAATATTAATTTTGAAGAAATAGATTTAAATTGCTGTCATTGTAGAACTATGGGTTACTGCCGTTCAATAGTTATAAGAATAATGATAGAGACTTGAAATGCTCTCTTAATGCTCAATAAAATATAATTGATAATGAAACTTTACAAATAGTTGGTAATATATTAAAGCATTGTTCAGAAAATATAATTAAATATTTATGGTTTTACACAGATTATTATATTTGAAAAAAAAATTAAAAAAAAGAAAATTAAAAAAATATCATTTGATTTAATTAATTTATTATCATTGTTATTATGTTATCGGATATAGAAATGACTACATCGTACGTCATGCTTTGAACATTAACCACAATAATAAGGCACATGTATGGAGAGAATTGTATTACAGTACTACTAAATAATAGTTTCGAATAGAAAAACACTCAGAAATAAAACTAGTACTAGGCCATAGTTTTTTAACCCTTTATTTAGCGGTGACGCTACAGTGACCGCAAGTTTTGCGACATCTTATAATCTTTATAATCGGCAGAAGCTCCTTAACAATCGATATGATGAAATAAAAAAGTGAATAGTACAAATCTATCTATTTTAATGATAGGCCACTGACGTTTTTGGATAGGATGTCGTGTGGCATGATCCGGTAAGACCATTAAGCATTTTGTAAGACCATAAGTTTTTTTGTAAGGAATTTGTATAGAGGTAAATTAATCATTATTAACTTGAATTGGTTAAAAGGCAATTATGTTCCGATTCCGCCTCCTTATATTTAACGGACATTTGAAACGATGTGAAGGCAGCTTGAGAGAGTTTACCCGGACAGTTAATCTTTCAAATCGCCATCTTACATTATAAACGGCATCAATACAAAGTAATAATATACACATTTAAATTTCGTTTGTACAGTGAAGTACCTGAACATTCTATTAGAAGAAATTACAAACGAATTTTCAGTTAGCTATCAACACATTGCACATCGAGATTTGATATTAAGCGATTTGTTCATTTCTAAACACATATTAAACAGTTTAGCGTTGCACTTATTTCCATAAGAAACCATTGCTACGGAGGTCCGACGCTTTATGATACAGTTCATCTGAAGGTTCTAAAAAATAAATTATAAAACAAAAATGAGAATCAGAATATAATTATATCAATTTTTTTATATTATAATAGGTATTATCATGCTTCTTAACATCCCCAATTCATGTAGAGACATAGATATTGTAGACCTGCTCTTGATAAAACACACTTCAGAATATAAACTAAATACAGCACAGAGTAACCCAATATATTAGGATTCACACTCAGTATATTATTTTTTTTAGTATACTGGACCCATTTCATATTTTAATAAAGCTTAGAAGTGGAGCTGTTTCTAGTCGTGGAGAAAACCCTATATTAAAAGCCAGGACCCTGAGATTGAATGGCAAGCACTTAAGCAGCTATTCAACTCCACTCCAGAATATAATAATAATAATAGGCTATGAATTATATTCTACTAGACAATGCTTTATTATTATGACAAATTTTTTAAAAGTCTATTTACCATTATATTCAATCCAATGGTGAAGTCTGATATTGGGTATAGTTCCGTAGTCATGGCACGACACTCGCTTGTTGGAACCGTGTGAGACATAACCTGTAGTTTCGCTAGACGTTTGATTTAGAAAAAGAATGACAACATTAGTATTGTATAAATAGTAACATAAACATACATATGAACCATTTGCAAAAGACTAATAATAAAGTATAATTATCTTGGGCGTTTGCCTCAGGGGTGGCGCCATATGGGGAGGTGAAGGGGTAGGTGTTAGCCAGGGCCTCTCGTCGGAGAAAAAAGTATTATGTTTGTTAGACATTAATTATGTTTGTTAGACATTAATATCGATTTAACAGGCCTTTAAAATCCTTAAAGTATCATAGCTTCAGAGGAATTCTGATTGACGCCTCACCATGCCCACTTACGTTCTCGTTGACCTTATAATAAAATAATTAGAAATAAATATATAAAATAGATAAATTACTACATTACTGTATTCAGTTCAAATATATTTTGAATCAGAAGGTTAAAAGGATTTATATGAATACCACAATGTCTACGGATCCGTTTCTCTGGTGTTTTATATAATACCACTGAAGAGTTATCGAAACTACTAATTTCAATGGGGAATCACTTAAAAAAATTATGGTGATAAGTTGAAGGACTTTGGTAGAATCATGAGTTTATTACGAACCTAAATGTATATAGACTTCATAATCTGGAGGTTAACCTCATAAACTATCCAAGCCGTATTGGAATGCAAGAAAAGAATGCTAATTTACTAATTATCGTAGGGCCTAATTGTTTTCACCTAATCACTATTAAATGAACCTTCTAACTTACTGTGACGTTATGTCTTCATCAGCTACCTCAAATGCTCGTGGTTGGACCGTCTGTATGTCATCAACATTCTCACATAACACACGAGCCATGGTCATTTTTCGAATCTCACCCAGTTGATCTGGAAATAGTAAACAATTATTAACATGAATAATTTATATTCACCAATCAAATAAAATTATTCAAAATCAACCACCTAATTATAATTAAATGGATCGATTTGCTGTTCTTGAATTCAGGTCAAGTTAAAAAAAAAAAGTTTCGTTCCCTTTAATAAATCAGATGCGAACACAATAATTACCAGCAGTAAAAGCCTGTCTTCCAATTCCATTTTCGAACCAAAACCGATCTCCAAACTTCAAATTAGCAAATTGTTTGCCAAGTATACAGCCAAGTGTCTTGCCCACAAGAGCGCCCTCCACAGGTGTTTCAGATATAAGAGCAATGAATGGATCAATGTCATCTACGTGCCTGGAAAATGTTAACAATGAGATGTTTGTTTATATACCAAAGAAATATTGACAAGAATTCATGGGTAAATTTCCCGTACGATTAAAATCCTAACGGTACTAGGTTTGGTCTGCATCCCTAGGATTCGTTTTTCGAAACGGTCATTCCATTCATAGAAGAATGGAACATTTTGTTGAAAAAAGTCCACCTTTTTAGCAAGGTTTACCGGTAGCAGTTACTCAATTTATTACGAATCTTTTTTTACATTAAAGAATAGCAAAGATTCAATCAATCACATTTTATTTTATTGTTTCAACTGAAAATGTCAACTATCAGACGCTTAAAATACAGTTTCTTATGTTCTGTTGCAAACACGAGCGCTTGTGGGACAACACGTGTGCGTATTCCTAGCCCTGTTCTGATTGGTCAGTTGTTAAGTTTCATTGACACTCTTGAAAGGTCAATTGAGTGAGGTTTTATTAAATTCTACTACAACGTTTGCAAAGGCAACACTTACTCGTAGACTTTGCGTAATTGATTGATATTGATTATGCTCATCTCACGCCTAAGATCTTCGAAATATCTTGCTCTACGAAGTCCGCAAAAATGACGCCACTCGTTGTAGCCTGGTAGACCATGATCACGCCCTCTTTGTATATTTAGTGCCACTAGATCCAAACCAATGCTGAGGATTTATAATGTTTCGGGATTAATGCTGTCAAACTCATTGAATAATGAATAAAAAATAACGGCTTTAAAATTATAAAGCTCGATACTAATGTATATTCAAATAACATTTAATGCTTATTTTTATAAGGCGATTTTCATTGTCTTGAAAAACACCTCCTCTAGTGTTATAAAATAATAATACACAGGCCTATTAGGAATATTCAATTCAATTAAATTCAATTTATTCCTTGTTTACTACACGGTATACAGATGCAATTAGTATATAAGCCTAACAAAAATATCATTACGTAATAACAAAATGTAACATAAAATAAGAACAAGTGACGAAGCCAGAAAAAAGTGTTAAAACTTTAGTTGACTCTGCAGTTAAACAAATGAAAAATGTAAGAAAATAGTAGAAATGTAGAAATTAGTAGACCCTATTATCAATATTAGTAGTAATGTTAATAAAGCATGAGTTGCAGACATCAGAGTACTTTCTCGACAATAGTTCACTGTTCTTACCTTCCTGCCGGATTTGCAAACAAATGTTTGGTGACATCATCATCTATATGTGTGTCAACTTTTGAAAGTGAATCTGAAAGCATACCAAGAACAATCGCGTCCATCCCTCCGTTTTTATGATCAAACAAGTGACTTGCGTTAAAGAAGGCTTCCTTCAGCGGAATCGGTGGGTAAACCTCTTCGTAGTTTGAGTTAACGCGTTTGAATTGTGATGGAATCAGACTATGACCAAACCGGAACGCAGCATGAGAGAAAACGTTCGATGTCGAAGGATTTACTTCACCACTGTAACCGAAGAAAAATCCATCATTCATGACAGCCAGATTATATTCTACCATTGCTTGTTGTCCAACGATAACTGGTAGAAACTCTTTATAAATAATCCGCTGCCAAATGGCAGAGTTAATTGATCTTGCTTCTTGGAAGACCTTGTTGTCCTTCCAATGGCGATTTATATGTTTAAGTGTTCTGGCCAGTGAATTGTGTTGTCTCATAAATATGGTATGCATTGCCGTTAAGCCGGGTTGTTCGGAGGTACGCAAATCGCCAGCCTCAGAGCATTGTATATCTGCAGTTACTCCGACACACTGGTCTAGTTTATGATCAGGTGGGAGATATGATTTATATTGTGGCCCTCGAGGACTCGGATGCGACTTCAGATACGCAATTTCGTCTGAAAGTAAATTGATACAACAACAAGGTAGTAATTGGCTTAACATCATAAAACATTGGTCTATAAGAAACTTATTTTCCGTAAAACCCAAGTATTTGTACATTTAGTACAGTACATTTTAATGTGATGCATATCAAAATGCAAGACAATATTAATAATTTACCTGGAACCCGTAAGCCCATCGAGGTGTTTCCAAGCGAGCCGTAAACAGACGACAAATCAAGAAACGATGTTACCTGGTTGAGTTGTTGACGTGGCCCAGGCCGGCAATCAGAGGCGGGAACAGGGACGGATCGGGCAAACGGAATACACTCCGTCGTGAAATATGTATCGTCCTTAGGGATCTCAATCGGTAGGCAGTTTTCAGTAGTCTCGCAATGGCACTCCTCTGTAATTGTCGATCACAACTTGAATTAGGACATGTATAGTGTGATAGAGACCTCTCAGTATAATGCATGTCAGTATTATTTTATTTAAAAAAATTTATTTCAAATATATTTAAAGTGGGTGACCCTTTCCAGTATACCTGATACGTAGGGGCCTACTTCGACAACTCAAAAACGACAAATAAAAAGAGAAAATACACGATTGTTACCTGAAATTTACAGATGTATGTACACTGTTTACAAAAATATGTGATAATACATCATATTATAGTAATAAAAGTGGGAATTGTGTAAATAATAAGTGCAATACATCAATAAAGTGAAAGCGACTACCAAATAAAAACCAATGGGAATCGAGATTATAAGGGCTTGAATCTGGTTTTAAACATTGCCGGGGAGGGAGTGTTTTGCATCGAATATGGGATATTCGTCAGCATAAATATTGTGGAGCTAAATTTTTAAAGAGATTTAAAGGCGAGACAGCCAAGTTTGAACTTCACCCGTTGAGCGAGAGAGTCTTGAGGTGCAAAGTTGAGTAATGTACAGTAGAGGATATGCGAGGATGACTTTGCATCTTCTGAATTTTTTTGAAATTCTGGATGCTTCATTGAACTAATATGGACAAAATAATCACCATAGTAGCTCTTATTTTACACCTCACGTGAATTCATAGTTAAAACATGGTTCACACTAACATAATACCGGTAACTTTCGTCGCAAACGCATGTGGAACGAAACCCATGGCACTATGGTTTCCAGTGTGAACCTCTAAAAAGTAGAGTGGTAACGTACAGTATGCAAAAACGGACTGACACCTCACATACACAAGCCTAGATGTCGCACAGCCTTTTTGTAAGAGGGATGAAGGATAACGAATCATCCAACCTTGCACAATGTAACGGACCGTCCATAACAAAGATTTATTGTCATCGAAAACAACGATTTGTCAATAGTGCTAAGCAATATGATATTTAAACATAATTAAGCTATTTATTTTACCTTCGGGCTCTGGTGAATGACCAATGTCATGGTCCAGGAACTGACCGAAATGCATGACCAGTGTGGTGAATTTCTTGGCGAAGTTGTCCTCCTCTTCGACGACAGTTGATGAAACCAGACGTGGGTTAGGAAGTTTCCTGTTTGATGGCGCTTCACGCGGATCATTTACATCTTTGAAGAAAAAAACAAAGATAATGTTAAATTAGTATTACATTAACCATTATTGAGTTCATGACTATGCCTACTTAAATTAATGGACCGTTCCGCTAAGGCCCGTCCTTAAGCTCCGGTACTGTTGCTAAGGTAGCATAAACCGACAGCGTATAGACTTTCGGACAAGTGTGTTTGTGGAACATACGAACATTTTTTGTCGCGTTTGTAACTTCCATTGACACTGCAGAAATAAAAGTTTTTAAAAAATGGTTTTCCACGAATCAAGGCGTCGGTTCGCTTCCCGAGTTCTGACTGGTTGCGCATTTTTTCGCTAGCAAAAACTCCGATAGAAATGTGAATGCGCATGTGCATGAGCCGCCGCTTTCCATTCGCGCGAATAAATTCGCCAAGTGGAAAACAGGCTTAAGACTTACCGTCAGCGTAATCTGGTGGCAGAAAGCGCGGCATTGTTGTCATCGCCTGTCCCCAGTGCACATGTATTAGATTGTTACACGAACCATTTATCGACCTGTATTTTTGGAATTCGCTACAGTCGATTATATCAGTGCCAAATCCAACTTCGTCGCACAGTTGTCGAAGTAACGGTGTGTTGATTGAGACAAGATTTCTATTACAAATTAAATAAATATTAATATTAATATTGTTAATAATCTTAATATTAATTATTAATAATATTAATAAGTTAATAATATTAATAAATTAACAACAACAACAACAACAATTTGTTTCGTTTGTAATGCAGAAACATAGTATTTAGAATACGGTGACGTTATCAATATTATTTTGACAACAGATGAAGAAAGCGTAATTCTGTTTTAATTTAAAAATACACTGTATTTTAAGCTAAAGAAACCTAAAAATTAAATTCAATATTTGAATTGATTATTTAAATAAGTAGCTGTAAAATACTGAGAATTTGAACGAGAAAACTTTGCCAATTAAACAGACGAATAAATAGACCAGGCCTAATACTCTTCTTACATTCCTGTTGACCTTTAAGTTGGTTTATTGATTTTTTAGTAAATAATGTATGAAAACAGATAAAAATGATGATGACATAATTGATGTCGAAAAATTGAATCCCGACACGATGGCGTGCATTTGGATACTTGAGTATATAGGCCTATTATAATATCTTAATTAAATACATTTTTAGATTAATTTTGTGTGTTTCAGTAGAGACGATATTTGATCTATCAAGCCATTGACGCACAAAGCTCCATAAGATCTATTGAAAGGAAATTAAGTAGGCCTAAAAAGAAATCAAGGCAAAGATGATTAAAAAATATACCGTAAAACCTAGAAGCCCAATGGACTTAATCTCGAGAAGAAGCTCATGGGCTTCATCTCGAGAAGAAGCTCATTTCGAATTAAAGCCTCCCTCTTTAGTTTGCAAAAGTAGCCTCGAAAAGCAGCTTATCTCAAAAAGAAACCCATGGCTTCTTTTCAAGATAGCATGGGCTTTTTTTTAAATTAAAAAGCCCATCAAAATTTCGCCAAAAAAAAAAAAAAAAAAAAAAAAAAAAAAAAAAAAAAAAAAAAAATTAAAAAAA